TAGTTTGACTCGCATATTATGTAAATGTTATGGTACGAAAATTCCAATGTTTGAACGATAAAATATAATACAAATTAAACTAACCATTTAATATGTTAAATATTGTTGAATTTAAATACTTATATAAGTTAGATAAAATAATACTCCCCCCAAAAAATAACGGGATTCAGAATACGATGACCATCCTAAATTGGTTCCTATATTTTTTTTAAATAAGAAACTATATAAAATAGATAAACTGCAATTGTAGCTGATGTGTAGTAAATATTTGGATACTCTTAATGAAAAATTTATTTGACTTCAACGGGAAAGCATTTCATATTAGAATTTTTTTCATTTCCCAAGATTCAAACCCAAAGGATTCTATTATATTGTACCAACTTTAGATAGCTAGAGTTATTAGTGCAAATGTTTCCACATTTTGAAACGCTACACCATATAAAAAGTGACATATAGTTTGCAAAAAAGAGTATTTAATTAATATGAAACCTTAAACAAGCTTTTGTTCTACAAAACCTACCACTTCATATCCTTCTACCAACTATATACAAAAAAAAATCAAATCATGTCAAAAAGTAGGTAACTTCTTCCCTATGGTCAAAAGTGACATCTACCAACATCGTTGTTGGTGAGTTATAAAGCCAACTAGTGTGAAAAATTAATTCGACTTTTAAACAAACAAATCCAATTCTCAAAACACAACGTACAACTCTGCAATGCAAATTCTCACCAACCAACTTCTTCTTATTCTTATTATTATTATTTTTTCTTTCTTTTTTAGGCCAAAGACTGTCCCCTCTGCTCTTCCGGGAAAAGTCGCTTCCTTTTTTCGGGGACCTCGGGCAACTCGTCCACGTCTGCAAGATACTTGACGGCGTCGACGAGTTTTTCCAGCATGAGTTCGTCCCGCACAATACGAGACCTAGCTCTTTCCTCCCTTTACTAAAAATTCTTCTATTAGTATTAGTGAAAGCTCAATCCCAACTCTCTCACTAAGACCGGATCTTGCAAACAGTGTTCTTGCTAAAAAGCCAGAGCGGATACTATTTGCTGCTATTCTATCTATTTGTGCATCAAGTTCGAAGAAGATCTCAATTTATAATGAAGAAGTGATTCGCCAGTATTTGGAATAAAGAACCTTCTATAATGAAGAGTAGGATGTGAGGGAAGTCTCTCGTAGACGAATACCGACTCAGTCCGCTCCTACTGCGCGGGAGGATCAACTACTCCGGCTTTTAGCCTTTGGAACCTGTGGAACCCTAAAGTCACTCGCCCGTTCAAACTCTTCTGTCCATCCCATCTAACTCAAATCGAAAGGCTAGTCTTCTTTTCTACATTCTACAGGCCCAGCTTCTTCTGAGAAGTTCTCACCAACTTCTAACTGATAGAAAAACTTGCACAAAACCATGTAATAAGAACATGTGAGTCATGACTCAATGTGACGACGCACAAACCCCCGAAAATAGAATGGAAACGTACGTTCAAGATTGGCTCCACTGAATTTTAGGGATCATCTGAACCGTTAAAATAATAAACAGTGGGTCCCGAAAAGAGAGGGTAAAGTTGGGGTGCTAAACCGTGTTTTTAAAAACAAAATGGTGTGGTGCTAAATGGGTCCCACAGAAGGTCATTGTGGGCCATAGGTTGGTTGGTGTACGAAATGAAAGTGAGAAGAAAGAGAGATTGAGAAAGCGAGTGAATCATACGCGCCATTTCCCCCTTCAATTTCGCTTGTGTATAAATACTGGACCACAACTTCCCCAAACTCGTGACTTCACACAGATCAGATCCAATTCTCTTCTGTCTTTCCCTTCTCTGCTCTCAAATTCTTCAGATCTACAAAGTTTTCTTCATTTTCAGAGGTATGTTTTTCAAATCCATGCCGCAAATTTATAGTTGTTACTTTCGTTTTTCTGTATCAAATTCGTAATTTGTGTTTACTCCTATTAGATCTGTTATGAATCTCATGCATATTTTTTGTTGATTTACGATCTAGATCTCAGCATTTCTAAGGTGAATATTCTCGTTATATTGAGATATATTTATGAATATGAGTATCATACATGTTAGGATTCGTTTGGTAATAGTTGAATGTATGTAAATTTAGCATTTGTCTTTCGACATTTTTCGATATGGAGTCTTATTCATGCATTGCTTAGGTTAATAGTTAGATCTCAGCATTTTTGCAGTGAATATTCTCGTTATATTGAGTTATATTTGTGAACATGAGTACCCTATATGTTGATTCGTTTGGTAATTGTTGAATTTCTGTAAATTTTCTCAATGGAGGCTTATGCATGCATTACTTAGGTTAATGGTTAGATCTCTTTGTTTACTGGTGATATTATCTTTGATTGTTACGTTATTTGTTGATATTGGTAAAACCAGTAGTCAGATCTCATTGATAAACTAGTTTTACCGTAACACAGTTGTATTTCGAAAAAAGTTTGATATTTTTTCTTAAATTTGGGTAATTTAAGTGTTAATCGTGAGTATAACGGCTTAAGCCTGTTTGATCTTGATTAATTATTGAAAATGAAAAAGGAAAATAGTTATTTTTGATTGTTGCGTTGTCTCATCTGAAGTAATACTCAAATCTCATTTGTAAACTCCGTACAAGGTGTTGCATCTGCATAAAAAATGTAAATTTTCGTGAATTTGGGTGATTTAAGTGCTAACAATGTAACTCTTCATTGTTAATTTTAGAAAGGAAAAGCCAAAAAAGCAACAAATAAAAACGTTGACTCTCATTATTATATTGTCTTCTAAGGTTATTTGAAGTGTGTTAATCTCATTGCTAAAAACTGGTGTTTACAGTAAAAAAGTTGCATCCTGTACTTGTATGGTCTACAAGTGCTATCAGCAAAATAATTATGGAAGTGTGTTATATTATCATATGAATAAAAGCTAAAATAGTGTTCAGGTTGATGATTCAATCTTGTATTACTTACATTAAGTTAGGGAAATGTTTTTTGGAGTTCTCAGCAAGAATACCAAGGATTTTTGAAAATGTCAGTTGAGTTTTGGGGTAAAATCTGTGATGAATCTTCATGCATATTTGATCCTTAAAATGTTCTGGTCCACTAGATCTTTTTAATAACAACGTTTCCACTACAATTATGACCTAGTTATATTGCCAAATAAGTGTTAATATAATAATGGAGGTCAACTCTGGTTATTCCATCAGCTTTAATACTTCTGGTCTTCTGCCTCTAGGTGGAGAATTCTTGTCATTGAGCACCTCAAATGGTTCCTCGAGATGATTAAATTTCTTTTCTGTTATTGAGTTCTGAGTTCTATCTACTTTTTATTGTCTCATGTGTAATGCAAGCAGCTTTTCCTTGATTTTCTGGTAAATTGAATATTTTAAGATAGGTTTTAACACTTGCTCTTAAATTTGATCAGGGCAGACATGGAAACTTTCTTGTTCACCTCAGAGTCAGTCAATGAAGGCCACCCCGACAAGCTCTGTGACCAGGTCTCAGATGCAATTCTTGATGCTTGCTTAGAACAGGATCCAGAAAGCAAGGTTGCATGTGAAACCTGCACAAAGACAAACATGGTTATGGTCTTTGGAGAGATCACAACCAAGGCCACTGTCGACTATGAGAAGATAGTACGTGACACATGCAGAGGCATCGGGTTCACCTCAGCAGATGTCGGCCTTGACGCTGACAACTGCAAGGTCCTTGTCAACATTGAGCAGCAGAGCCCTGACATTGCCCAAGGTGTTCACGGGCATCTTACCAAGAAACCAGAAGAGATTGGAGCTGGTGACCAAGGTCACATGTTTGGCTATGCCACTGATGAAACTCCAGAGCTCATGCCCCTTACCCATGTTTTGGCCACTAAGCTTGGCGCCAAGCTTACTGAAGTGAGAAAGAACAAGACTTGCCCATGGCTCAGACCAGATGGCAAGACCCAAGTTACTGTTGAGTACAAGAACGACAATGGTGCCATGGTCCCCATTAGAGTTCACACTGTTCTCATCTCTACTCAACATGACGAAACTGTCACAAACGACCAGATTGCCCAGGACTTGAAAGAGCATGTGATTAAACCTGTGATCCCAGCTCAGTACCTTGATGAGAATACCATCTTCCACCTCAACCCATCAGGTCGCTTCGTCATCGGTGGACCACACGGAGATGCTGGACTTACCGGCAGGAAAATTATCATTGACACCTACGGAGGCTGGGGTGCCCATGGTGGAGGTGCTTTCTCAGGAAAGGACCCTACTAAGGTGGACAGGAGTGGTGCTTATATTGTTAGACAGGCAGCAAAGAGTGTGGTCGCCTCAGGACTTGCTCGCCGCTGTATTGTGCAGGTTTCTTATGCTATCGGTGTGGCTGAACCACTTTCCGTGTTTGTTGACACTTACAAGACTGGAACAATTCCAGACAAGGATATTTTGGCTCTGATCAAGGAGAACTTTGACTTCAGGCCTGGAATGATGTCAATCAATCTTGACTTGTTAAGAGGAGGCAACTTCAGGTACCAGAAGACTGCAGCTTATGGTCACTTTGGCCGTGATGACCCCGACTTCACATGGGAGACTGTCAAGAGCCTCAAGCCTAAAGCTTAAGTGAGGTCTTGCATTTTGGCCATTATTTTTCTTGCAGACCAATAAACAAGCTTCATCATATCATGCATTGTTGGCAGGAGAAGGGAATTTGTGTCTCCATTGAGGATTCTACGAGCTCTTGAGTCATTGAACATTTGTTATTTTTCTTTCTTTTTTCACCCTTTTCTGCAGTACCTTATTTTTATGTTGTTACTGTTAAGTAGCAGTAAGTTTCCCTGTTAAGTAGCAGTGAATTAAGTTTCCCTTGTTCTATCATATTATAGATGAATTTGTCAAATTATCTCCTGAGGTGAAAACTTCCTTTGTTTATCAATTGGTTTGCCTTTGTCTGGAAATACTGTTATGCAAATACAATCAGGTAATAGTTTATTGCTACCTGTGAACTTCCATGCCCATGGTAAACTGATAATTGTGATAAAACTAAAAGCAGAACTACCAAAATTTGGTGATCTACAATTGATAATAATGAACTACTTTTAGTCTGTTGACGATACAAAAGTACAGTAATCTGTTATAGTAACTGCCATTCAAGATCCAATGATTTGTTTCAATTGCAAAAGGTACTGAAAGTTACTTCTAAGAGTGCAACCACAGACGGTCGTACAATCGCTCTTCTCCTCCACCAAACATCTCATCAACCCTCTCACCATCTCTGTAGAAATGAAAAGTTGGCGTGAAACGAATGTTTTGAGTTGTCTCTGGACATTCATCGATATCAGCATATATGAAAGAGAGTTTTGGGAACTTCTTGCTCAACTCCTGAAATGTAGGAAGGATCTGGTTGCAGACACGGCACCTGCAAATGCAAAAACGATAATTGTCGGTACTGGAGAAATTAGAACGTCAAACACTTTTGAGTAGTTTCTTGATCAATTAATATCTTTCAGAATACAAAATTCATCACATTGTGACAGTATAATTTCCATACATTGGTCTTATGATAGCAACATAATAAGTTCCAGCTGCCCACCAAAAATCGTATAGTAGACGCAAAACTCACACCCATAGCGTCTTAATTCCATTTACTTTTGCAAAACTGAGAAGCTGTAACACTTGTCTGTTGACAACAATGGAACATTCTCTTTATATTTGCTTTGTTCATAGCCGAACCTCTAGGAGGACTTAGAGAAGATACAGAGCCATGTTCACTAGCTAATAACAAGATTGACAATGGAAGACAAACTAATTTCAAGTAGTGTTTTGAAACAGAGGTGTTAAAAGTGCAACTGTCAAATTGAGAGTTATTATAGCAGTTTTGCAACTTCAACTCCTAAATGCATATAAAGACTGCGTCATCTAGAACTCAAGACGCCATGAAAGCTAGGAGAACTTCAAGAAGATTTAGAGCCAGGGCCTCGTGTACTAGCAAGTAACGAAATTGACAGAGGAAGACGGACTAATTTTAAATGGCGCTTGGAAACATAAGTGTTGGACGTGGAACTTCTGAATTAAGCATTGCAGCAGTTCTACAATTTAGAACTCCTAACAACAATTAAAAATATTACACTCTAACTGCAAAATTCCATTATTGGACACTTATTGGAGATCATTGAGGACTTTTCACATCAAGGATTGATTGGAAAACCTATGTGGTACACTACACCTTAAAGTTTCTTTTCAGACTACTTTCCAATCTGGGAAAATATTATTGCTCTGGTTTTGCTAAAACAGATTTATATGAACAGCAAATAGCTATAACTTTAGCTCCACCATTTGCAGTTTTTGCTCTCAGCACTTATCCAATTCTCTGCAGTTGGTTTATTCCTACTCGATTCATTCATATTCTAGTTGAATTTCATAAAAGATGCAAGAAAGAAGTGTACACAAATCAGGCATAGTGGTCAATGAAGTGAGTTTGAGAACCATGATGCCTTAGGTTCAAAAACTCATATTCCAGCAAAGAAAAAAACTCTAAGGGGTCGTTTGGTTTGAAGACAAGTTATGATGGGATTAGTTATCCTCATATTATTTCTTATTGACTGTTTGGTACGTTAGTATTAATCCGGAGATTGTCAATTTTACTGCTTTAAACTGGGATTACTAATCCACCTAAGTTATCCCGGTATTATTTTTAATCCTGGGATAGTTATCCCAGGATTAGTAACCAAACAACAGATTAGGCGGTATTAAATTTTTATCCCAAGATTATTTTTGTTTATCCATCGTACCAAATCACCCCAAAGTGATTTTTCTCATAAGCCTTGGCAGACAGAATTACCATGTACCTGCGCTTACAGGAGGTAGTAGGTATCACATGAAATTAGCCAAGGTACATGCAAATTGGCCTGGACACCATGATTATAAGAAAAAAATTAAGATTTGAACCAGAGATGTAACATTAGGATTGACAATTTTCCATACCCTACCCCTAGAAGTAACCCCCCACCCCCCNAATTGCCCCCTCCTCCCTCTTCTATCCCCCAACTCACACCTCATTCAGATTGGTATACCTAACTCCATAGCAAACTAGAGAAAGAACACAAAGCAAAAGCATAAGCACTTCCAACCAAAGAGAAATACAAGATTATGCTAGAAATAGGGGGAAAATCCAAGAACACAAAAAAGAGAAAGACCAAACAAAAGATATTTAGTGAACTATTGACTTACCAAGAAGCCCCATAATTGATTACAGCCTGCAAACACAGTTTTCCCAAAATCTTCAATTCATTATTATCTATAAGTAAAAATGTTAAGTTTGCTTTTTTAAAATCTTTGTACAAAAAAACTTAACTAACCGGATTTTTAGTTGTTCTAATACTGTGAAAAATGTCCTTGAGATTTTCGTCACCTGTGGCTGTCTTCAAGTTCCCCTGCTCTTCACCCATTTTTCACTTCTACTTTTTCTCTGAATATTATGAAAGCCCAATAATTATTAGTCCAATAAATACCCCCACTACCTATCTTACCACCCCATTTAGTCCAATTTTTTCTCTTGATCAATCTACCCCTGAAAGTTTATAAAAGTTTATTCATATACTATTCGAAATTGCTCAAATTTATTACCCCGTAACACTTTTGGTCCATTTATATCTTTGTCTTCCATAAATATTTGTAAGTAATCATTACATATTGTATTATATCATATCGTTACTAAATATAATATTTATTTTGGTTATTACTTAAATTTTATTATATTTTATTATTAAATTCGTCATTAAGAAACGACAAGAAGTGTCACTTTATGTAACGACCGATTCAATGTGGTTGTGTCGTTACTTTATTTTTTTCCTCTTATTTTACCCTTCTTTATTATAATCCTACATTTTTATATCATAATTCTACCTTGTACCTTACCTTTTTTTTTATAATATTACAATTTTTTTCTTTATATTATAGGTGAATCATCATGAAATAACATCAAATAATATAATCTATTCAAATATTATATATAATAAAATAATACAGTACAATAATACATAACAATAATCTAAACAACCTGTAACAAAGCTGCAACCAAGACAGGTGAGCTTCACGTGTCTAAATTCTTCCATAAAAAGTCTAAAAAAAAAGATAATCTTTTTCCTATTAGACTAAATATTTAATAGAGGGCAAATTGGTAATTATGACATTTACAAATTTGCCCCTTCTCCCTGAAATCCACCTTCCGTGCTATTCTTCCATTTTCTCTGAAAATTCTTGAAAATTTGCTCTCAAGTTTTTCTACCTTAATATTCCCAAATTTTTCAATATTTCATTCTTGAATCCCTTTATCAAAGATTTCAACTTTATTCCCTTAAGCAGCTAAAGCTTATCTTTTTTCACTGATTTAGTAGTTTCTATGGCTAAGGGAAACCATGTGTTCAATTACAAAGCTTCTGAAACTAACTCCCAATCCACATCTTTTTCTCTTGCAAAACTGTACAAATATGAAACAATTATTAAAATTTCATGCACATTTTGTCACAACTGGCCTTTCCAATGACCCCCTTTTCCTTAGTGCTATTTTATCTTTTACTGCACTCTCTCCTACTGGAAATTTAGCTTATGGCCATTTAATTTTTGACCACATAGATTCACCTAACACTTTCATGTTTAATACTATGATTAGGGGTTATGCTTCTAGTTTTAATCCAAGTAAAGCAATGAGTTTTTATGTTAAAATGTTGCAATTTGGCTTTGTTCCTAATAATTATACATTCCCTTTTGTGATTAAAGCTTTGTCTAGGACTAAAGATTACTTTTTTGGTGAAGCCTTACATTGTTCAGTTATTAAATTTGGACATATTTTCGACCTACATATAGCTAATTCACTTTTACATATGTATGCTAGTTTTGGTTTGTCCAATGATATTATGATTCTGTTTGATGAAATTCCTGAACCAGATATAGTTTCTTGGAATGTGTTAATTGATAATCTTGGTCAAAATGGGTTTTTTTATGAGGTTCTTGGTGCAGTCAATGAGATGTGTCGATACGGGGTTGAGCCTAATTCGGTTACACTTCTTGGACTTGTCTCGTCGTGCTTGAAAACGGGGGATTTTGGTATAGGGAAGTTGATTCATCTGTATGTAATAAAGAAAGGGATACACATTAGTGAGAACCTTGAAAATGGTTTGATTGATATGTATGCTAAGTTTGGAGATATGGAATCAGCTGACAAACTGTTCAATAGGATGCAAATAAAGACAGTGGTAACGTGGACTTCACTTCTTGTTGGTTTTATACAAAAAGGTGAACTAGCAAAAGCTAGTGTAATTTTTAATCATATGCCTAAGGATATTACTGCTTATAATGTCATGCTTAATGGATATGCTGAGGCTCGCGATATGAGTTCAGCCGAAATGATCTTTAGAGCAATGCCAAATAGAGATTTGGTTTCTTGGAACACTATGATTGTTGGCTATACTCAAAGCAAGAAGTATATGAAATCCTTAGAGCTGCTAAGAGAAATGCTCTGGTTCGGATTGAAACCTGATCGGATAACATTAGTTGGGTTGTTCTCAGTATGTGGATATGCAGGTGTACTGCGTATTGGTGAAGCCGTTCATTCTTTCGTGGAAAAGCAGAACATAAAGGAGGAAGAAGTTGAGGTAGCTTTGTTAGATATGTATAGCAAGTGTGGTGATCCTGAGAAAGCTCTTAGAGTATTTGAAACGATACCAAGAAAGTCGGTGCTAGCTTGGACTAACATGATTGTAGGAGTAGCAATGAATGGTCTTGCAAATGAAGCTCTAATGTTGTTCAATCAAATGTGTGATGAGGGAATAAAGCCTAATGAGATAACATTTTTAGGTGTTTTATGTGGTTGTAGTTATGCAGGTTTAGTAAAAGAAGGTAAATGGTTGTTCAATGCTATGAGTCAAGTACATGGTATTACACCAAGATTTGAGCATTATGGTTGTATGGTTGATCTTCTTGGCCGAGCCGGTTTGCTAAAGGAAGCAGAGATGTTTATTCAAGATATGCCAGAAAAGGCTGATGCTGGAATCTGGGGTGCATTATTAGGAGCTTGTAAAATGCATGGTGAGGTTCAATTAGGTGAAAAGATAGCCAAGATTGTAACTCAAATGGACCCTTATCATTCGGGGCGTTACATTCTTCTCTCCAATATTTATGCTGCAGAAAATAGATGGATTGATGCTGAAAAAGTAAGGAAGAAGATGAAAAGTTCAGGTATACATAAAACTCCAGGCTTTAGCTTGGTTGAGATGAAAGGTGAAATGCATCAATTTATAGTAGGCAATCATTCTCTATGAGGAGGATTGGCAAATTTGATGCGTGTATGTACCAAGAAAGAAAAAAGCTTGTGCATTTTTTAGTATAATATGGTGTTCAAATTGGTTAAATATTACTTTCTCTATTCTGTAAAATTTATAGTGGACTGGATTAATTTTCAGTTTAGCATCAGATACTAGAAATTGTTTCCTCAATAACAACAAAATATATATCTTCACAGAAAATGGATGAAAGAACAATTGAAGCCATTGCAGTTAGGAGGGAATGTTGTCAATCTTGTAAATGTGTAATTGGAACAAGTTTTGTTAGACAAAACTGTTCCAAGCTGATAAACAACACGAATTTGAGTATGAGGTTAACCTTTCTAACTTTTTATCCTAACTACAAGCATAAACTGGTCTAATAAATTACGTAGAGTGATTGCAGAAATTATTCGCAAGCTTGCGCGCACGTGGGAAAGTTGAAGCTTTCTGAGAGTAGAGAACCCTGGACGCTGCCATGGAGGCTTGAAAACAAAACAGTCCAAAAAAAGGGTCTTGTGTCTAACGCTTTTGAGAATAGAATAGAATAGACGGTTGTGATTGACAAAGTAGGGGGAGGTGAGTCTTGTCTCCTTTCACTTTGTTATACTCGGAGGAATGGTGACCCGGACGGTGGCTCCATACGGGGGGATTGTCGGGTTCTTATGGGTGCATTAACTAGAAATTGATTGGAATTAGAAGTAACTGTAAGTGAGGGAGGGAAAGGAAAAGCAAAAGGTTATATACATAAAAACCAAACTTTTTCAAAGTGAAAGATGAAAAAAAATTTGTTCAAATCCTAAATAGCAGTTGTATCATATATATATATAGTCGTCGTTGAATGTAGGAAGCCACATACAATTATTTGTGGCGACTATAATGGTCGCCACCAAAAATCACGTAGTGTGAGTTATTGAAGCCAATTAGATTATTCTTTAAATTCTTACTTTTCTCATAGAAAATATTAGTTAATCCAAACTAGTGGGATTATACTGAGTTTTTTGTTGTTTTTAAATGTGTAATTGGACCAAGTTTTGTTAGAGAAACTGCCCAAGCTGAAACAACATGAATTTCAGTATGAGGTTCAAATTTCCTAACTTTTGATTTAATATAAACCAAACATTTCTAGAGTTAAAAGACATTTGGAAAATATTTCAGAAATTCGTAATCAAGAAAAAAAAAATTGTCAAATCCTAAATAGCAATTGTGTCATATATATATGTACTAGTATCTGGGTTAATATTTGCATAATATATATTTATAGTTACAAACTTATGTATATATATTCTAAATATATTCGATTGAGCTATAAATTTGAAATTAAATTAAAAAAAAAAATTAGTATTATTGCATATCCTTAATACTACCTCTGATGAATGAAGTCATCGTACTATGTTACATTTTTCAATCGTCATCCTATCAATTAAAATTTTTCTTTCTAAACTACGTAAGCCATATTTTTTTTAATTTCATGTACATGTCAACCAAAAACATTGTAATGGTTTATGTATATGTCAACCACAAATGTTGTAATAATCACTACCACAAAGCGTAATTACCTTTCTTGTTTAAGGGCAAATATTACAATATTTTATAAAACAATAATAAATTTCAGTTTAAATATTTTAAAAATATTTGTTTGGAGTTTAAAAAAGAAACAAAAGTATACAATTTGTACAAGGGACGAAAAAAGCTAAAAGAACTATGCCCTTTCATTTTTCGATGTCAACCTCCGTACATGAGACCATGAACATCTACATTTTTAGCAATTTCTATTCACTTTTTCTTTCAAAATCTACTACCTTATCAAATCAGAGAATATATCATAATATGCAATGCAATATATACTAAGATCATGATTTGCCCTATATTTGATATAAATCAAACTTCACAAGTGTAGAAAATAAAAGATTAAGTTTAGAAAATAAAACCCGATTTTATCTCCACTTTCTTCTTGATATAAAGGCGAAAAGAGAAATCAACCACTCGATTTGTCATCTCCATAATGTTGCAAAAGTAAATCATCAAAATGATAGATTTCTATATTCTTTGACAACAGTGGACGTGTTTCTCGTCTCAAAGGAGCATTATGTACCGCCCGCATATTTTTCGACCAAATTTGCCGCCTAAAGGGCTGCAAACCGAGCCAAACTTGGCTGCCAAAGACCGGGAGGTCTTTGCACATGGAGGCAACAATCCCACAGGCTGTCAGGACCCTCATGGAGGCCACACTTTGCCAGCAAGAACACATGCTGCCCAGCTGGGTAGGACCCCAGCCAGCCAGGACAATCATGGAGGCAATTATCTGCCAGCAAAGGCATGTGTTACACAGCTGGGTAGGATCATAGCCTGTCTGGGCAATCATGGAGGCAACTATCTGCCAGCAAGAATTGAGGCACAACAACTGGACAGGACCATTGGCACATGGGCTGCCAACACAATCATGGAGATCACATGATGCCAGCATAAAACAGTGCTACACAGCTGGACGGGTCCACTGCCAGCAACTCTGCAGTGGACATTGATTGTATATATAGACATGTATATGCCTTGTTAGAAGGCCGATCTCATATACTTATATTTCCTTCTTTTGTATATGAAGTAAATCCGAAAATTGGCTTTGGCCTCCCAATCCTTGTGTGTCTTTCATTTCATTATCCTCCCAACCTTTGAGTTTGTATGATTGCCTTGGTTCAAGCACGACATTGTGCTTATTTCTTGGTTAGGACTGAAGCTAGAATAGCAGCCGGTCTATCTTGCTGTCCGCATGGAGCCCTTAGAAAACGGTCCCGTGACAAGTGGTATCAGAGCAAAAGGTTATTACCATGGCAACCGATGGAGATAATGTTACCTTAGACAATATTCGGGGGAGAGACGAATCACCAACAAGGAGACCGAAACCAAAGAAGAGAGGGATGAGCAAAGAGCGAGATCCCACCATAGCCGTAACAAGTAAGGTGCTAGCTTTTGTGCTACCCCCACAACAGGTTGGCCGTGGTGAAGATTGTGAGGTTTCTGCCTCAAATCTTTTAGACGTGAGAATGGATCTCACCGAGGCTGGTTTAGCGGCATTAAACCGGTGTAGTGAAGTTGTTGAACACAACTTCTGCTCACTTGAGTCTACTGCCCTAGAAGAGTTAGGAGACGTCAAAGAGACGTTAGATCAAGTGTTCAAAGAGCACAGGGATGGACTGACCAACCTTGAGCTTAAACTGGCTGAGGCTGTATTATCGTTGCACAGGGAAGTTGAAGCCCTAAAGCAACAACTGCAGGCAGCAAAGCTAGCTGGTGGCACTGGATATATAACAGTTTGTGAAACCAAAATTGAGGGCCCAAAACCGAAGGAGTTTAGGGGCGAACGAAATACTCAAGAAGTAGAGAACTTCATTTGGAAGATGGAAGACTACTTTGAGCACCTCAGCATCGTTGATGAGGCTTCCAAGATCCGGGCAGCAACGATGTATCTAGCCGACACCGCTATGCTGTGGTGGAGGAGGAAGAAAACCGACATGGAGAAGGGAACTTGCTCCATCAAGAGCTGGGAACAGTTCAAATTCGAACTGAAGCGCCAGTTCTACCCCCAAAACGTTGTTAATGAGGCACATAGGAAGTTGAGAGAGCTCAGGCAGACAACTTCCATTAGTGAGTACGTGAAGGAATTCACTAAACTCATCCTGCAGATTCCGAACATGGCAAGCGATGACTTGCTATTAACTTTCATAGATGGCCTTCAAAACTGGCCAAACAGGAATTGCAGCGGCGTCAAGTCCAAGACGTCGATAAAGCTATCGCGGTGGCTAAGTCCTTAAATAATTATAGGACAAAAGCCACAAAGGCAAAGGACACCAACTTCAAACCTGGTGGAGACCATGGATATAGGGACAAGGGCAAGCAAGTTGTTGCCCTTGACCGCAATTCCAACGAAGAAGGCAACAAGGCGTCTCATTGGCGTGACATGTATGACCAAAGGAAGAAGAAAGTTGGTCCCCGCAATGATTGTTACATCTGTAAGGACCCTAGTCATGGATACAAGGATTGTCCTTCTTTGAAGAAACTCGGTGCCTTAATTGCGGCCGAGCGGAGGCTAACAGAGGAGAGAGTCCAAGCTGACGAACAGGCCGAAGAAGCAGTTCAACAACAGCTGGGCATAACTCATCTTGGCAACATGATACTGGGCACAATAGTAGCCAAAAAGCATGCTGCCCAAGGGAAGCATGACATTGCCAAACTAGTTCACTCGTTAGGCGACGATGTGATTGGCAAGGAGCCCCGATCGAGAGAGCCAGGACCCCTATTCGTGGATGCAAGATTGATTGGACAGTTTGTCCGTATCATGGTGAACACCGGCGCAACACACAACTTTGTGTCGGAAGCAAAGGCTAAGTCACTTAGCCTTGCAGTTGGTCCTATTCCTTATCTTTCAATCTGGACTTGTGCTGAAGACCGTAAACGCCAAACCCACAAACGTGAAAGGAGTTGCCCGCAATGTGCAGCTCAACTTAGGAGCTTGGCAGGGAAATGTGAGTTTCTTTGTCGTTCCCTGGATGTGTTTCATCTAGTACTGGAGCTGGACTATTGGGATGAAGTGAAGGCCTTCATCTGCCCATATCTCAACCAGATCTACATTTATGACCCGAGGGGTCCATGTGTTGTACCGACAGTTCAGGTGCCGCAAGTTGTTAGTCAGTTGTCCGCGATGCAAATCGTGAAAGGCTTCAAGGAAGAAGGAGCAACGGTTTTGGCAGTCGGGACAGAGACTAAGGAGGTCAAGGTGGACGAAGCCTTGACTCCATGTGAACAACAAGTCCTTAATGAGAATAAGGACTCCATACCGTGGGCGAAGCCACCTGCTATGGGTCCGTACATGGCACCTACAGAGTTGGAGGATTCAACGAAGCAACCCAAAGAATTGCTTGAGTCGGGCCTGTCAGTCCGTCACAGACTATTATCTCCTGGACTCTGTGTTATGGGTCTAGTGTTTTGACGTCTATCCTTGTAATAGCCAAACCAAGATTTGAGCAGAACTAAAATATAAGCAGCCGAACCGAGCCAGCTATCCAGGTGGTTTAGACATTGTAATACCAATGAGGTGCTTTACAAGGAGCTAAGAAAGTGATAGATAATAACATATTGTAACCAAGTAAATTGCAGAAGATAAACTACTTGGATAGAATACGAGAGATACTGTGTCAAAGAAAGGCTTGTTAGGTCCCAGAATTTCAATAAGCTTTAAGTAATTGTGTCTTAAACTGTATGAAAGAAATAGTTAATATTGGCATTAGAGTTGCAGTCGACGAGCTGAAACAAAGCTACTCCTTTCTCTTTCATTTTCGAGCAAATTATTTTCCTCTTGATCCTTTTTCTTTTCTTTCTGGTGAGCCCATCCTTCTCCTTCATTGTTCCGGGGAAGTCATTAAACCTTCAATCTCCTTTTTGGCATTTGTAAGTCCAAGATTTAGAGGCCATTTTAGGCAAATATAACTTGGATATGCAAGCCAAGAAGGATGATGATTGGAAACAGTGGAAAATGCATGTCACTCAATTTCAGAGAATGCACCGGCGTGAAATTTCTGGCACAATGACTGAGAAGCAGCTTCTATTCTTGATAGATCCTACAGCAACACAACATATTCTATTCAAGTTGATGAAAAAAGAAAATGCTTCAAAACTGATGTGACATCTTCATCAAGAGGTCTTTACCTTTCCTTCAAATGTAATTACAACAGGGCCTTCTCTTGATCTGCGATAGCCTCCTTCATATCCAAGAAAACAGGTAAGAGTTACTAACAGGAAGGAAGGGAAAAAATTGGATGGACTGCGGGGAAGAAAAAATGATTTACCTATGTAAAGATCAGGGAACTGAGCGCAAAGCTTTGACAAAGGTTGAGCAACTTCGACCTGCAATACAGAGTGACACATAATGATCAATGCAATAGGACAAAATACGAAGTATTAAAAATCCATTTGACATTATGTGATAACTGAAACTAACAGTAAATGAACTGCACCCAACTGTTCTAGAAGGTTATCCAGGGTGAAATATCCAATAAATGACACTCCATTGATGAATGAATAGATATATTGTTATCTCAAGTATCTGTAACGATGATTGCATGATAGCTGCAATACAGAGCAGGTTCCATTACATCAACTTAATCGCACTAAGATAGCAGCCCATAGATAAAGTGAAAGTTATTTGAGCATATGCATTTTTCAGTTATAGCATACCCTCCATGACTCATAGGCGGATCTAGGATTTCTAGAAATGTTATCCTTGTATGAGCGCATAAGAAACACATGGGAAAAGGATCTTAAGTTCACTGGATTGTGGTGCCTTTTTCTGCTATGACAAGTCCTTTCAATGCTTCAGTTCATTTAGTATGCTAGTTCAAATCTGTTGTAAGGGACTGAATATTATTTACCTGATTTATTAATAATCCATTTTTTTCTTCACTTTTCATTTTACAATATGGGAACTACAGATTTATACATTATTCATGAAGTCTAGTAAAACAAAAAGGAAATTTGCGTTTCAGAACTAGAACCTAGTGATAATAAAAAATTTGTCAGGTACAACATTCAAGTTCTAAGGAAAACACAAAAGACAATAGTTACCCAAACCAGGGAGAAGAGTTCCCATAAGAAAGGCGAAAGCAGGAGTCTTTTGTCCTAAAAAGAAACAGTTTGGAAGAAATGAAACTTGGAAAGGCCACTTACTAGCACATGGGGAAACAAGGGCTCAAAAATACTAATGATATAAAAGGAAATGACTTCTGTAGTTCTAAATATTACACATCAACAAGGAAACTATAAAAAGGGGCATAAAAGAATCTAAGAAAGGGTTACGTAGCACTCACATCAGAAAGAGTTGTTGCAAAGCATTTTGATACAAATGGATCCATCAATACTAGGATGCCATTAGATTTTGCCAATTCAATCAGACAATCCCATTGCCGATCCAGCTCTACAACATTTGTCGCAGTGAGAATAATCACATTATGGCACTTGATCTACAAAAGACAAAATGCACATGATAAAAAAAAATTTACTTCATAAGTATCTTAAACAATTAGGTAAGAGTGTCAGAAGGAATATGAACATAAAACAGCCCCGTGTAATTAAAAGAATGAAATTAAAGAGGGAAATCGAGGCAAAGACAAGGTAGCTTCACTGTCAGGCATCAGCTATCAGCTTTTTCCATATTTGTTAACCATATTGCCAGCTTTGCATAAGCCAAAAAAATTGTTAGTGCTATATAAGAACATCTATTTAACTCTCACAATCAGTGATCCAATTTCTTATATCATAAAGATTCTCCTCTTTTCTTTTTCTTTAATAAAATCCATCTTCTTTAGAAAAAAACTTCAAAGGCCAATAAGCAGCTTAGGGCATTCAATCAAACACTACCACTAGAAATATCTAGAACGAAAACTTGCAACAATAGCAACAATCATGCCATAATCCCTACATAAGTTGGGATCAACAATATGAAACACCCATATCCATTCGGCTCTATTTGCACCCTCGGTTAAATGAATCATCATATCCATTTAGCTATATTGAGCTCTTTTCACTCAAATATGCAATATTTTAAGATGAATTAGTTTTTCTATAAAACCAGAGGATCTCTAAACCTCACACTTATTTGTACACAAACATGCATATCTCTAAAGATGACGGACAAATACCAGAGAAAGCAAAAAATAGGAAAGATGACGATTTTTAGATGTGTGCCTATTTGGATATAATAAAGTCAGATTCAAACATAGCTGGCCAAACTTTGGCGACGAGAGGAAGAATCTATAGAACATTTATATTTTAGATAATGACTGCAGGGGCCCAATCAAAACTACGCTTGTAAGTTGCAGGTAAATAAGTCCCATGCCCCCTCCTGCTAACAGAAAAACAGAAAAGGGGAAAGTTGAAGAGTCATAGATGTGTGCCTATTCAGATGTGATAGTTTCAGAATTAAGAACATCGTTGGTTGGATATAAGTGTAATTTTTTTTTTGATAGGCAACGCGAGTAGTATTTTTTTATCAAGACAAGATGAGTAACGACAAAAAGAACTATATCAACCATACTATAAAAAATGCATTTTATATATTTGGCTGGTTCCTTAGCTTCAGTCTTCAAATATGGCTCTTTGGTATTGAGGGCAAAAGTCTACTAGTTGCTACATGCATCTAAAAAGATGATTCGACTTGTCAAATGAAGACCTCGAAAATTTCACCGCTGAAGTGATAACCCAAAATGGACAGCTCTTCTATAACACGGATCTTTTTATAGAAACAAAAAAGCATTTTCTACAAGAACAAAAAAGGTCCTGACTTTTAGCTAGATACATTCAGCCGTTTGGATCTTTTTTGTTGGATACTCTCAAATCAGTATGAATGAGAATTGATTCACTGCATGAAAAACAAATCTACTAAAACCACTGGCTTAAAAAGAATTATGAGGTTGTTGCTTGCCTTTTGCACCCTATGCCATTCTTTTGAAGTGTTTTACCACTTGATGAAAAGAATGTCTTATTTGATTTCCAAATTCTAAAAATTAAAGTACATGGGACTTGAGAAATTATTCCTAGCATGCTATTTAATAAGTAGTATCAAAGAAAAGGCCTAATTTACTGAATTTCCAAATTTGACAATAGAGCTTGGCTAGTCAATTTAGTAGATGACAATGTTAAGAAATGTACAAATAAAGCAAAATTTTCAATTTGACCATCCACTTGGACACTAGGTAGACATCTGATAGAGACATAATATGCATGTAATGACCAGAACAAAATGGAAATAAAAACGACCAGCAGATATAGAACAATCTACTTATGGTTGGAAAACTGTGTTGGTCGGATATGGGTCAAGTATCCAATACGAGTGTGGATCTAGAGGTCGGATTCGTCATCACATGAATTTTGGAATTTAGGGGTATGGATCCGAGTGCGGATATATATAGATGCTAGGATACAACTAATAATATAGCATTTATAACTATGCAACCATTAAGGGTAAAATGGAAAGTTTAAAGTTAAATTGTTCCTAAATATAGAAAGGTATCATTCTTTTTTTGGGACAAGCTAAAAAGGAAAGTTCATCACATAAATTGGGATAGAAGGAGTATATAATAGTTTTGTTAGAATTTTGATTCGAATCAATCATTATCTATTTATGCTTCTTGAGCTTCATTAATATCTAGAAAGCAAAAAGTATTTGTGGTAGAAATAACTGTCTTTAATAGCCAGAGCAAAAAGTACTGTGGTAAAAACTAAACTCTTTGTAAACGCTTAATATTTTATTCATATGGTATCTTGTAAAATAGCAAATTGTTCTAGTACTTAATGAATATACGTATGACATAAACCAAAAATCAAACCAAATATCCAATCAACCTATACTTCGTGACAATAGGTATAGTCACAGTACCCAAGTTAGATTTTGACCAAATCTGGTGCAGATCCCACACCCACATCCAAACTGTGTCGGATGGACAAGGATGCACAAAAGATTTTGAAGGATCCAAGCAACATTGTTTAGAAAGATAGACCATTCTAGGGGCTGATAGCTTCTTACTTAAAAATAGACAGTTTTCAGGGCAGTAAGCTGCATGTGAGTTTCATTAAAGCTATTTCCATAAATAAATATAAACGATATTTTTACTTGAGCCTAAACAATCCTCAAGGTGTGTGAAAAGATTTTTAAGACAACATACAAACAAAAACTCAGCAAATTAAACAAACCTTGAGTTGAAAACAATAATTAGAAACCTAAGTCTAAACGTCCTCTCTAAGTGTGATTGAAGATGTTTTAACACAATATAAAAACAAAAACTTGGCAAAATATATAATGGTTGAGAATGAAGTTGGATATCATTTTATACATTCTCTAAGATAAATAAAACATCAAAACTACAGAAAGAACTTAAAATAACCATCATAGTTCATAATGGCCAACATACCAAAGGCACAGGCAGCTGTTCATGATGCAACAATTCTGTAATACCCTCGGGCAACAGCGCCATCTGGAATAGGAAAAGAAACAAGGGTTACCTTTATAAATAAGGATGTTTTTTCCTGAAAATGATAAATAAGTACGTTCTCCCTTCCACTTATTTAGTTTGTATCTTTCAGAGTCAGTTAGTTGATGGGCACACAAGATGGTGCATAATTTCAAAATCAGTTTAGTGGAACAATCTCTCTGGAACGACAAGAATTCCAGAACTGCCTTGAAGAAAAGTATCAGGGCTTGAAACTTTGGGGTCAGGATCTTTCTAGTCGCATGTAATCATAAATGGAAATGCTTCTGAAAAGGCTGATTCATCCTGTAGAAAAGTAATATCTTCAAGCTTTTCCTTACCGTTCAGATTATTACTTGCTTTGGATGTCTAATATTTCGTAATATGAGAACTATATTAAAAAACCCTTAATATTATTCAGCTAATTTGAAGGGGAGCCTTGGCGTAACTGGTAAAGTTGTTGCCATGTGACCAGGAGGTCACGGGTTCGAGTCGTGGAAACAGCCATACAGAAATGTAGGGTAAAGCTGCGTACAATAGACCCTTGTGGTCCGGCCCTTCCCGAACCCTGCGCATAGCGGGAGCTTAGTGCACCGGGTTGTCCTTTTTATTATTCAGCTAATTTACCAATCAAGATGCAGAAATGAATTCCAACGTTTCAAGAAAACATTACAATTTTGTTCATGTAAACTGGATTCCTAGCCTATCAAGGAGCTTTTTCATTTAACCTTTCAATTGACTCCTAACAGAATGGAACGAGAGATTTCTTGATACCAGTGCAATAGAAGGTAACTGAAGCAACAAACTCAAAAAGCACAGGTAAGATAGTAACAACACTGTGCCATTCTTGCCCACGATATTGCATTTAAAGAAAAGCTCTGACCTCGTTCTTGTCACCGGAACATTTTTCACCTATAAGGTGCCTCAGATGTTCTTCAAATTCTTCATCAGGAGCCTGAAAAAGAAAGTAATGGAAAGATTTGAGACACTGATATATCAGTAAAAAGCGAAATATCAAATAACATTTCTGAAAGAGTGTTTCATAAATATCACGGACTCTGGAAAAACTGTTGTATCTTTCGGACATGCAGAATGACACAAGGATTGTAAAATAAAGTACTCGTGAACATTTAATTATTTAAAGCATTATAGTCGTATTAACATATCTAAAGCTACACGTAAAAACCATATTCACATTTATAAACACATAATCATAGACATCTATGCATCAAATACATTTACCAATAATGTATCTAGGTGACTTTACCATGGTAATTTAAAATTAGATGTTTGATCATCCTTCTCTTATTATTTTTTTTTCTTCATTTCTAATAAGACCTGTACCTTCATTTAAACTTTTAACTTGACTAAACCATCCATCCCAGTAGAAAAGAAAATAAAAGCAAAGAATTACCCCTTCAGATGTGTTCTCTCACAGAGATACAACAGACACCAATGAGGGAATTTTTTTTTGAAAAGCAGCCAACAGCATACCACACATGGCACATCAAGTTTGCAACATATGCAACATCAGCCAGACATGTAAATCATTTAAAAGTTTCCATGTTACAAAGTTAAATCATTCAGAAGCAATTTCTCAGGCTTAGTCATGGATTAAAAGCATGCAGAAGGATCGATATTATGTACCATGCGAACACCAAAGGCTTTTGCTACTCCCGCTACAGTAACATCTGAATGCAACGGACCTATCCCACCAAATATAAGTACCTGTTGGAAGATAACAATTTTAAAAACCTATGCTCAGAGCTGATAGTATTTCCTCACAGACAATTACAGACATACAAAGCTAATTGCAGACCAGTCTATGATATAATCCATACTGACAAATGCTTACCATATCATCTGTGGACTTCCGTCTCTCTACTTCCTCGGCTACAGAATCTATCTGAAATTGAGAAGGACAAGATTAAAAATGGAGACTAGAAATTTAAAAAGGTTTAAGGTTTCCCAATTATCAAGGTGGAAAATAGAGGAAAAAACTGGCGTGCTTCAGGAAAGCAATTACAATTGACTGTTATAGCTAATAATTGGCTTGGAATGATAATGAATCTTTTCCAATCACTAGGGAGATATTCAGGTTAAGCTATCCATTTTATCCCTAAGCTTATTAGAGAATTCGAGGATTTTATTTCTACCTTTGAAGTCTTTTTAACTGTGTGCACAGTTCAAGCAAACATTGCAAAAACTCCCAATAACATATTACTTACATCATTTCGAGTGACAGCAACTCGCGATACTGCCCAACCAATAGAATGGAGCTTTTTACACAACATAGACCCCAATTTGTCCTCTACAGTGCCAAACCTGAGCTATGGAACCAAGAGAAAAATATCTGATAAGCAAGCAGATGTAAAGAGCACAGAATATTAGATTTTAGGTTCAGAGCGAATATATATTCACTTGTCTCTAGCCTGTTAGCTCTCTGCCTCAAATGGCTGAGTTTAATGTAGAGCAAACTGATAAGATAGACTATATTTTGCAATACACAAATCCGCATAGTAAACTTTTCTAATTGACATAGTTTACCAATCAAACGAAAAATGTAAACGTCTACTTTGACAAATGCACAGAAATTTAACGGTGTCCCCTTATGTCCATCCGGCTACCAAAAGAGCAAGTCAAAATGTGTTAATGACACACATCAACTAGAATCCAAGACCATGCTCTGCCCCTCATCAAGTCACTGTCTTTTGACTAACAACAACAACAACAACAACCCAGTAAAATCCCAAAAGTAAGGGGTCTGGGGAGGGAAGTGTGTACGCAGACCTTACCCCTACCCCATAGAGTAGAGGGGCTGTTTCCGATAGACCAAATGCCAACGCCGTTTACATGCCTATGAAAAAATATTATATCCATTTAACCAGATAAAGAATAGAAAATTCAAATGAAATCTTGTAATATAAAATGCCAACGTCGTTTACACTTCAAAATAAGATTGTTTCATTCCTTCTGGATTATAGACTCGAGTTCAATTTAGAGGGAAATTTCCATTGAAGTAGAGGATAACTTGTTTCCGAAAATCAGCTGAGATAGCTGGGTTAGGGAGAAACTATGTGCTTGCAGAAATTTGATTCACTTGCAGGAAATCCAGTTACCCAAGAGATTAAATGTGTTTAGGAACAACTAAAGTACATTCAGGTTCAACAATTTATAACTTTTAAAAAATACTCTTAGGTTCAACAATAGCTGATCATAAAAGAACCAACAACTAGAACATGAAGTCCAAACAGATCAATTGAAAATTCAAAAGAACAAACACTAAAGGACAATATAAGTGATAAAGATTTGGCAGAAATCCAACAAAAATTACATATAACGAGAAGAAGCCACTTAGAAGAGCATGTCAACATGATAAAAGGATCATCAAATACAAATGTCAAGCAACAATAACTTACAAAATTTCATCCCCCACAGAAATAATCGAGGCAGTAAGCATGCTACCGGAATTCAAATTCTCCATTTTCCCTCCATTGCTAATAGAAGATAACTTCCCACACACCGAAGAAGGGTTCTTCTTTACCCTTCCAGCTCTTTCCAACCTTCCATCAGCGAGTAAATAGGCAGGTTTAAACTTCTCTTCACTATTGTCCGAGTTCCTGATGCACAAAAGTGCATTACGAACAGTGTCATGAATGCTCCCTATTGAGGTATACCTACAAGAGCAGTAAAATAAATAGATGGTCAAATCAATGAGAATATACATCTGGACAAAGTATAATTCATGAGTGTTAAGTAGCACAAATCAGATCAGCAATATAAGAGATACTATCATACTAGTATAAATCTCAAAAATAAAACAGAAAGATTAAGATTTCATATGTTTCATGTAATTGCAGGATGATGAATCTAATAAATTTTGCAGTAACACAACAGAAAATTACCCCTGATCATAAAGACTGCAGTACTGAACCTTGCACACCAATAGGAACGCCCATACATCTCTGCCGCATCAAATTTTGCAGGTTAGTAATTTTAATTCATCCAATAGGAGAAATAAACAGTAAAGTGGATGATCAAAGTCATAAAAAATACACAAAATCATGGCAGATCAAATCAAAGAAAATTTGCCAAATGAACATCTTCCATTGAAAAGGGCATGCAAAACCCTGAACAAAGGTAAAATCAGTGATGCAGCCAATTCAACAAGGGTAAGTATTGAAAGAAAATGTAAACCACACGAGTCATGATTAATAGTTTTTTTTGGAAATGAGATAATGACTAAGAGTTTGGTCATCACTATCTTTAGCTGGATTACGTTGGATTCCAGACCTTTAGGTTATTCCAAAGGTTAAACTTTTTTGGATTGTTTGTTTCAATACTTCTGAACATTCTTTCTTGGTTCCAGGGAAGAAGTGCATACATAATAATCCCATTTAATGCTCCAAAACGATAGTAAAAAAACATTCAATCCTGCATTGACATATTGAATCAATTAAATACAATGGAAAATTACACATTCAGTACTTGCCATGACCAACAACTGACGTAATGTTTATCTTCAAGCCATAATTTGTTCGAGTATATTAATTCGAGCCATAATTCTAATGAAGTGTAAAGTTTTGTACTCCTTGATTTCCTAGGCCTTACATCAAACTTTAAATCCACCCAGAGAACTGCCAATTCCGAAAGATAAGTCCAGTATCTTTATAGTAGTGCTAAGGCTACCCCACTTTTTCTCTCTCCACCTACCCACTTCAGCACTACCACAACTCCTAATTCCATTCAAGCAGTTATTATCCCAGACAACCACTAGCACACCCTTTTTTCTATACAGTACCATGAGAGAACAAGAGAAGAGACTTATTTATAGGTAATACACATAATATTTGTCCAAATGTGGGACAATATTTAACAAATGAAATTAACACTTTTAACATTCTAACACTACAACTTAATATTCTAACACACTCTCTCAAACTCAAGGTGAGGAAACCTACTTGAGTTTGCTTTTCTTAAACTACTGAAAAGTAAACAGCCACAGAGTAACTTGAAAGTTCTCTCACCGGGATCTTATCAAAAACATTCTACGTTCCGCTCATCAGATTGTTGCTGGAGAATTAGTAGAGAAATGATCAGGAAAATGGAGAAATAGTGAATGAAAGAATGGCCAAGAGACTCAGACACGGAAGGGATAGCCTAGTGCAAGAAACCCTCTACCTCCAACTAGGTAGGTTGGAGGTTTGGGGGATTGGGTTTACTATATCAAGAAAAAGAGATGCTGAAATACTCGTGGAAAAAAAGTTGTGCCATAAGTTGCTCGGACAAGGGTGCGGGTGTCCAACAAGGGTACGGATCTAGAGGTCGGATCCTTCGAGATGTAATTTTTAAGATTCGGGGCTACGGATCCTAGTATGAAGACGGTGCGGGGATCCGGCTAAAAATAGTTCAAAAAAATAAAAATATCTCTAAATTATGAGAAATTTTGTGGAATACTTACGCATAGCTTGTAAAGTGTGAATTTATTTTTATTCTCAAGTTGTAGATAAGTAAAGGATTAATTTCCTAGATAAGGTATGCTATTTTCTTCAAATTTACCCTAGTTTTGGTTCTGATTTCTGGAATTAAATTGTATCTCATCTCGAATTCTCCCGTTCGTCGTGGTCAAAGTACCCAAAATTGTTTGACCAGATCCAGTACGGATCTCATACCCACACTCATACCAGTGTCGTGTCGACACGGGTACGGCACCTAAACTGCCGCATCGGAGCAACTTAGGTGCCACCAGAATGATTATTGTAACAAGGGTATGCTGCCAGAATGATCACCGGAACAAGGGTGATGTTGCAAAATTCAACAACATCAAAAATAGACATGTTGTCTCTTGAACGACCACCGGAACAGTAACAGTACTGCAGGAACAGTCATATGAAAGGTCAAGAATAGTACAGCTGTGAGTAAAACACTTCGAAAGGGCAAGTGGCGCGCGGTCACGCTCAGATAAATGGAAGCTATTTAAGACACTGCCAGGATCGTAGATATTCTGCTACCAGAAAATAAGAATTAAAGAACAAAAAGAAAAGATGTATCTATAACTCCATAACACACCATTTATAGGTGTCAAACAGATACACGCACGATATCTAACGTAACAACCTAACATTTCTAAATTTCTAACCAAATCACTTAAATACTAGCAAATACAAGATTCCAATAGGAGAGGTCTCGTTAACTCTTTCAACTCCACCTTCTCCCTCAATTGAAAGTAACTTTTTTTAACAGGAAGGGAGAGCAAGAACCTAATGCTAGCCCTTCACTTTGTCATAAGTGCAATTCGCCTATAAGGAAAATGAAGCATGCTATGAAGCCTTGACATTGGGTTGGCTTGGATTCAGAGTTATGATAACTAGTTGCTTGCTTGGAAACATAAACAATAGTATTATGCTTGTCACTGTTGGATTTTTATCAATTAATATCCTACTAGTCTGTTAAGCTCCTTGCCATAAAATAACACCAAACAAAGACCAAAACCAGCCCCTGGTATTATAAGAGGGTTTTCCTTTTGTAGGTAAGAAGCAACATGCTTGATAATCAATAAACTCTTCCTCCTTTTTCTTCCTTATCTCTTCGGCCTGCTGTCTTTCTTGGGCCTTTTTCTTCATGTATTTCACCAGAAAAGCAGTTCTTTTGTGCATCAATGCATCAAAAGTGCTATCTTTAACACTTAAGTACATAATTGTTCTTCTGAAGTTTGAGGCAACCAACTTTTAAAAGAAATAGTTCAAGTCAACCATTGTCTACTTTTAAACTATTCTTGTGAACTCCATTTGGGTTAATTGATTTAAAATCCTTTTCTGTAGATACAATAATTGCTTTCTTATACTCCTTGAAAAATTAAGCTTTAATCTCAATCCGACTGTCAATGGACTTGAAAGCTAGTGTTTGCACTTCAAATCCTCCAATTCTAGGGCTACTAATACTTCTGACAGTATTTCCGTGAAAAAATCATGAAGCTCACATGAATGTCAATATCGACAGTATATTAATATTAAGCTGTAAGAGCTTTTTCGTAGTCATCTCTTCTCAGATGAAAATGGTAAGGTGTGATGATAATTAATATCCTATTTGGATTCATATTTTAAAGTCTAAAAGAATAAGATTGAGAACTAGTTAAATTTTCTTTCTACTTCCATTTTTATCTGCATTGGTGAAGTTAAAGATTATTTACTTTCATCAGGTGAAGAATCCTAGTTCGTTGATCGCTCAGTACAGTTTTCAATATGCTAATAAATAAAAAGAACTTTTCAGCAGTATCACATGCTTAATTTATAATACATCTTGATGAACCATCAATTTTACTAACTTATCTTGCAAGTGTATGGAGTTGTATATAAGGTGTAGTCAAACCTGTATGACCAGTCCAAAATTGGATTCACCCTCATGAAAGGTGGCCACCCAGGGGAGCTAGGTGAGAATTGCTCTTGACCTACCTGAAACATACGTTCCATAAGCAGTGGTCAGCCACATATCATACTGGTCTACATTTAAAAAATCATTGACTAGTTGGAATAGTTAACTAAATATTTACTGCAGTAGGATCTCCGATTCGGACACCAAGAAAAATAGCTCGAATTGGATTCGCCTTTAGCAGAGCCTCCAGACCTGATTTAAAATCGAGTCTAATAATATCCATTTGAATGTTGTAACTGCAAGAGAAGTGTGATCAAGCCAAATAATTAATAAAGGAAATGACATCATCTACAGCGACACCATTGTACCATCTTATATATATGGAATTTGGTAGGGAAAGGGGGTCGAGGTAAACTATCATCTCACTTACGTTGCTGCAGCTTCATAGGTAAATGAGTTGATTTCAGGGAAAGCAGATGGGCTCTCAAAATATATTGTTCGTATCGGGAATGTTTTTCCACCATCAGCTGCATCTCCTCTTAAATTATTTTCTTCAGCTTCATGCAGAAAACAGCCTGCCCTTAGCAGGTGAAGCAAAACCTGAATCACAAAAATTCACATATTTGGTCAGAACTTTTATGAAAAATGAACTATTTAGACCTCAACACCAAGAAACATGTAAAGAACTTACAGTAGAATCTTTCCCTCCATTAAAGCTTAACGCGACCTCTTGTACACTGTTCAGTGGGGGACATAAGCAATATCAAAACGAGAAAAGCTGAGAAATGCTTAGCCAACTTCATCTTAAAACGGAAAGAGTAATAGTGATAGCTCTCGGATCAAATCATGTTCCTAAGATGCAAGTCATGCTGTTTAATTTACACACTGTCTTAAGCCTTTGGAGAGAGAAAAAAAGGACATCTTTCTCTAAAATACAAACTATACCATTTTCCAAAAGTCCAATTAACATAAATAGTATTGTTTCAATCACTATTGAATTTTATGCGACACTTTTATACTTTTTTCAATCGAGGAATTAGTTTCACAAGTTCTCTGCTGAACCTAGATATAATAACTCATTCAAATTATCTCCCCTTAATATCCAAGAAATTTCAGCTAGGTCAACACAACAAGGATAGAGGGAGTATAGCTTATGCATGTAGACTTGCAGTTGCTTTCTTCTCATCTGCCTAGGTGGGTAAAGTTACTCCTACTATATTGGTAAAAGGATGCATAGGCGGAGCTAGAATTTCAACGTTATGGGATCTGGATTTTAGAACAACAACTTTAAGTACTAATAAATGGGTACTAAACCTTATATTCGTATATATTTAATGAATTTCTTAACACAAATACACTGTTTGGACAAAAGCTACTGGGTTCAACCGAACCCGTATCAAGCTTCTAACTCCACCCTTGAGAGGATACAGGTACCCAGTGGAATAGCCGAGATAAGCGTAATGGTCACAGTTATAAATTCAAAGAAAAAAATAAAGGTGAAGTATAACTCACTAATAATTCAATAACTTCAAATAAAAAGTGAAATCTTGTGCATTTATTGCTCAGCAGCATACTATAAGGTAACAACAGAATAATATGCTCTGATATCACAATGCTGTGAACTTGAAAATAAAGTATTACTCTATATGTTATACTCCCAAGTCCCGTCCAGTTGCAAATAATCCCTCTATCTCAATTTACGTGTCATTCTTTCCTTTTTAGTCGGTTCTAAAAAGAATATCATTTTTTCTACATTCAAAAACAATTTAACTTTAAAAGCTTCCCTTTTACACTTAATGTTATCAATTATAATCACACAAACTACAAGTTTCAAAAGTCTTCCATTTCTTGGTGCTTAGTCAAACTGGGCCGCATAAATTGGGACAGAGAGAGTAACATTGATTCTTTAAAATTGCACAAACTTAGAGCAGATCAATAAAGTTGACTCCATAAAAGATTTTGAAACTTACGAGTAAAGAGCCAGTGCTCTTTTAATAACATAAATGGCGTTATTATACTTAGTCTTCAATCTTCCATCATCACATTCTCTAATTGCTTTATCGATCTCCATCTACACAAATTTGAAGAAATTTCCATAAATCATTTCCAATAATTAAACATGAAAACCTAGATTTAGATTAAGAAATAAGAATTTTGAAGGGTTTAAGAGAGAACTTACCTTGGGGTTGAACGGCTCAAACAGAAAGAAATGCGAAGGAGATTGAGAGGAATTCAGAGAATTGGCTATAAGAGAACGCGCTCCACAGATTATATATATCTGTTTCTTTCTTTGTTTCTTTCTTTCTTTCTTTCTTTCTTGTGTGGAAAAAACAATTATGACTAAAGTTTTCTAATAAAAAGACAAAGAAGATAAGAATTAAAATGGGTTTTGCTTTGCTTTTAAATGCATATAGTTTACGTTTCTTTTTGAGGGGTACAAGAAAGATGAATGAATAAACTGAATTTCTACCCATGTTCCACATTGTAACGGTCAAGGTCACAATTCAAAGTACTTCTATCTATTTCCTATTAAGTATATTTATTTTGGTGTCTAATTAATCCGGATTTGGATCGGAATTTGGATCATAAATCTTATTTGAAGGTAAATTGTTTTTTTGTCAAAGGCTATTTTAAACCGTTGGTAAGTTAAGAATCTGAGAGATACGGATATGTTTAGCCATAGATTTTGTTAAAATAAACTTGTATTTTATTTGGCAAACGCATGTTTAGCCATAGATTTTACCTACATTTTGGCCAAATTCCAAATTTTAAATCCCAAAATCAGCTCAATAGCTGGTTTTGGGCCAAAATATCACTATTATATTTTTTAAAATTTATCCCAAACTTTTGTATTTTATAAAAGAGCCCATCATTTATTATTTTGTAACGATGTTGTTTCGTCTTCTTAGTCATTGTATCATGTAGTTCATTATAAAAATAATAATTTTGTATCAAATTTATTTATGTTCAGGACTATGGTTTGCGATAATATAATAAATATTATTGATAATGGTATTGTTGGGTATTTATAATAGTTTTTAAAAATTATGGGTATAAGTCATGTTTCATATTTTTCCAAATCAAACTTCACCCAAAACAGATGTCCAAACACATTTTCATCTTCAAACCAAGCTTCACCCAAATCAAATTTTTCAGAATAAATTTGGGAATCTATGGCCAAACGCTAGCTTAGAAGTCAGTTTGGTATGATGAATAAGTAAAAATAATTCTGGGATAAAATAATAACGGAATAACTTATATCTCAGAGGATGAAACAGTAATTCATGGTTAATTGACAATTCCATGATTAATATAATATATCAAACAGTCAATAAAAAATAATATTAGTATAACTAATCTGTACGTAACTAATTACACCAACCCTTACTATTTGAGCATAACCATTGGTAATACAATTCAAAGTACTCTTATGCACCTATTCTTTTATCACATTGAATAGTCTTAATTTGTTGCTTTCTTCTTCTTCTCTTTTAAAGTTAGGACTATGAATATTAAGCATGGGATGAAAGTTGGAACTATGACTTTTATTAATAAAATTATGAAGATTCAACGTAAATGTTTAATATTCGTGCGAATTATTTATGTTGTGACACTTCTGGTCAACCAAAACTATTGAAATGTTCTAGTTTTGCGAGATGTCAATGTCTATAATGCGTTTTTATTTTCTAGTTGGTATTGCCGCTCTCATAGTCATTACTTAGTACGTTTAGCTTCTTTTTTTAAAATTAAGAGGCTCTTTTAAAAGTGTTTTTAATTACTTATTAGTTTTTGAGAATGAGAATGAGAATTTCTATGGTCTTTAATAATATTATCCTCTACTTTGTTTTAAAAAAAATACAGACTTATTTACATTGACTAGAAAATTGATGATAGAAATCCAACAATGGTAAAGAAAATTATTCTTCAAAATACATAATGACTATTTGAAAGTTGTAAAAGCAACACATTTTAGGATAATTTACTTAGATCCTAGTACATTAGAAAAACAAAATGACTTTCAACTCTAATTTGAAACATGTCTTTTTTGACGACAATTCAAACTAATATTTCGGTATACAAGTCAATTGTTAAAAGCAATATTGTCATTTCTATCATTAGCCAATACTTATTGTATCCTGAAATTTTAAATTAAAAATTTTAACTTCAGGATATTTTTGTCCTGAAAAGTTGAACTTGAAAACTAAAATTCAGGATGCACTGGCTAATTCCTAAATAACAACCTTTTAGAGTGCTACTTGGTATCATTTCTATCAATAAAATGAAGTTTTCATTTCAACTCTATTGATTTACCCAAAACCATAAGAAAGAGGTTTGAGATAACATTTTTTTTTTACTTTAACTTGATATACTTGAAGTGAAACGCTCACCCATTTAAAAAATAGTTAGGAGTAATATTTATGTGGTGTTGTTCCATATTTTATTTTATTACTTTCATTCAAAGAGGAAAGTAGGCAAAGTTGGTCCGATGCCAAAGTAGGGAGCTTGGTCAAAGTATGCAAAAATTCCACACCTTGAACTTTTGCTTATAAGTGAAGGCTTTTTATAATTCTAGTTTATAACCTATTTGGCCAGACGCTTCTATGCCAAAAGAGTTTTTTGTTTTAAAAAACAATACTTACGTTTGAGAGTTGAGTTATTTGGTCAGCTTTTAGTACGAGAAGTTATTCTTTAAAAGCAAAACAAAACAAAAAACAATATTTCCTTAGAAGTACTTTTGGAATTTTTGCAAAGCATAAATTGCTGCTATAATATTGATAAAATTATATTTTTAAATTATTAATTAGAAAAGCACTTATAACAAAAAATATTTTTAAAAATAAACAAATTTTAAACGCTTGGCAAAATAGACTTTTAGTTTTGCTAAACAGAGGAAGGTTTAAACAACTAATATCCTAAATTTATATGCTGAAATATTATTTTATAAGCTTTTTGAAGCATAATTAAATTGCATAATGTAGCATGTGTCGTTTACAATTATGTAATTCCCAGTAGCTTTTAAATTGGACTGAGTTATGAAGAACCCATATGGAACGGTTCGAAGGAAATATAGACCGCAGCACCAATTAATGCTCAGGTGCCGCGCCATGCAGTGCAGTGAGTGGGGACCACTAAGGCGTGTTTTCGACACCATGGCACTGCACTGCATCGAGGCACTATGTAAGGTGGCGGAGGCTGAGGCATATTTTTAGTGCGATGGTGCTGCGTAGCGCCTAACTAGGTGCCAAAACTAGCGTGATGGCCAAGCACCTAGCTCAATGATTGCATAGAAAGTATATGTAAACATTTTAGACGACAAGGATATAAAAGATACATTATTCTCGGACCTAGTTGAGATCTTTTGAGAAGGATTTGGACTTAGGCACTTCAAGATACTTTAAAGTGAGAAATTCTTGACAATTTAAGTAATTTGTGAGTGTTTACTCATGTCCCTAAATCGAAATATGTGACAAATATTCAAATTTTAAAAATCAATCACATGATAGTTATGTTCTTAAAACTAAACGATGGAAATAACACTTGAAATGAAATATTATAAATTTTTAAACGTATGTTTGATGCTAAAGGCAAGAACTGTCAATTGGGTGAGGATTTCATCATTGTTTCTNGGGGGGGTTTACTTGATTCGATATAAAATGAGATTTATGACCATATAAAATTCTAAATACATGATTTATGATTTGATTAATGTTATAAATATATGTTGAGGGGCATGTGAGCCAAGGTTTATGAAGTAGAGATTGTTAAGGCGTATATGTGTCAAAAATTGATAAATTTTTATTATAACAATATTTTGGGAGTTAGTAAAAATGATCGAGGACAATATTCATGAGTCCGGAACTAAAATATGGTTCTTTTGAACTCAAAGAACCAAAATATGTGGGGAAAAAAATGGGGGACCATAATATGTATAGCGCGGTGAAATACCGCGCTTTATTTGAACTTAAATGGGTGGGAAGGTATAGCGCCCTTATCTACCGCGCTATAGTATAGCGCAGTAAATAAGGGCGCTATACCTACATAAATAAACGGGCCCTTCTCCTTCCTCACCACCAAAACCAGAACCCCCCCCCATTTTTAATGAAAAAACTCGGTTGAAGCCCACCGGTCCCACAAAAAGTATAGATTCTCGGTCTCACATCGTATCTAAGGCGTTATCTCGTAGTGGGTTGCTCGTTTCGGCTCCAAATCACCAAATCTTCAACTTTACAAAAAATTAAAATCGAGGTATTCCGACTTAGTTTTTGTTAAAACTCATGTATAAAAAATACATATTAGTTATTTTTACTGTGTTCTATGTTATTTTGTGATTGTTTTGCAATTTAATTAATTTTTTATTTTTTATTATTAGTGTGATAAAAAAATTAATAAAATAGAGAAATTGTTATTAGTTGTTTAAAAAACATTAATTATTTAATTTTTACTTTGTTATATATTTTTCGTGATTGTTTTGTGATTAAATTAATTTGTTGTTTTTATCCGATTTAGATTAGTTATTTGCTAAAAGATTAGTAAAATAGATAAATTATTATTTTAGGAATAATTAATCTTATTTAGATGTTATTGTTGTACATATATGAATATGTGACTTTAGTTCCCTGTAGTAGTATGTTGTGCCCGTAATTTTAATGTAGTGGTCGTATTTGTAATGCAGTGCCTTTTAGCGTAGTAAAATGTAGTGCCATTTAGCGTAGTATCTTTGTAGTTATTGAAATTAATTATTTAATTATCTGTTAAACCCAAAAATATCTGAAAAAAGTTGATAGTTCAAACACAAACTCTCTCGAATTTTAGTTCAAACACAAACCCAAAAATATCTGTTAACAATATTTGTCAAACTAAGTATTGTAATATGAATATTTAATAATTAAATCTTGTATATTTATGAAAATTAATTATTTAATTTTATTATAGTAAAAAATAGGTGAGTAACAAATAAACATATAAAATAATAAACTAACATATAAAATAAGAAATAAATATAAAATAATAAACTAACATATAAAATAAGAAATAAACATATTAAATAATAAATTAACATATAAAATCATAAATTAACATATAAAATAATAAACTAACACATAAAATATAAAATTATAATATAGAAAATGTATCAACCTAATTAACAATATAGTAAAAATATCGAATAAATTTTAATATTAAAGATATTATAATATATTTAAAGATGTTAAGCAATTAAAAAGAAAAATACTTTAATTAATATTGTTCAATGTACAGTAATCGTCATGGAGGTTCCGCATGTGCATCCTGGACCTGCATCGCTAGAGCTACTATTGCTACAGGCCGAGTATAGGT